TGGTCAAGAATTAATTTTGTGGCTAAAAGAGATTAATTAAACTTAAGGGACTTATTGCGTAATTATAAGATAATTACATAGATGGGCTTATGGACTCCATAGAAGTGGAGTGGACGAATTCTATGGGCAAACCCATTAGAAATCGTCCAAGGCTTCTAAAGAAGGAGTCCATGGGCTGCTTAGGGCTTAAGCAATCAAATTAGGGTTTCCTTGTTAGATAACCCTAATTGCCTAAGTATATAAGGAGCCCTTAGGCACCAAAAATGTGGCTAACACTTGGATTAGGGTTTCCAGCCGTTTTTGGTGCCTTCCCTCTCTTTCCTCTTCATTCTTGTTGCTTAATGGTGTTTGTGACTCCATTAGAGGTGCAACACTTGAGGCACTAATCTTTCTGAAGCCAAGGATTGATTGTTATTGCTATATAACAATAAAAGGTTAGATAGAAACCCTATTTTATGTTAATATGATTAATTGTATGCTAGATCTACGGTTTATGGATTTGGATAATCAACTGCATGTTCATTAGACAAACTAGATCCAAAGCTATTAGGGTTTGCATGTACACCATAGGATTGATGTATTGCTTGAAACCCATTACCTCCTCCATCAATATGTGCCGAGCTCCACCTGTATCGGGAAGCCAAATCCGTCTACGGAAATTTATAAGCCCCCGACTATCCATCTCAAACTCGAAAACCTGTCTGATCACTCGCTCCCTCATGTGGTTCTCTAATCTTACGAGCTCCACCTAGGCCTCTCAGATGGTATCTAAGACTGGAGTTATCACCATCATCCACATACACACATCTCGGATCGGAGCACTCATTGCTCTATGGCTAAAGGCATCGGCTAGCACATTAGCCTTACCCAGATGATACAAGATCTTGCAGTCGTAGTCCTTCACCACATCCAACCACCTCCTCTGTCTCATATTCAGGTTGGCCTGATCCATGAGGTACTTGAGGCTCTTATGGTCCGTGTATATGGCACACCGAACCTCATACAGACAGTGGAGCCAGATCTTGAGGATGAACACCACCATCCCAACTCCAAATCATGGGTGGGATACCTCATCTCATGAGGCTTCAACTGTCTCGATGCGTATGCTATCACATGCCCCCTCTGCATCAACACCGTACCCATCCCTGATATAGATGCATCACAGTAAACTATAATGTCCTCCACTCCCTCGGGAATGCCTGGAGCTTCACACGATCTCTAGCAAAGACTCTTGAATGAGGCCTGTTGCTCGGTGCCCCTAAGCAAAAGTAACAACCTTCCGAGTCAATCTGGTATGAGGAACAACAATCTTGGAGAAATCTATGATGAATCTCCAATAGTAGCCATCCAAACCCAGAAAACTCATGATCTCGGATAGGGATCTTGGCACCTCCTATCTCATAACTACCTCAATCTTGGATGAGTCGACCAATAACCCATTCTGATTAACGAGGTGTCCCATGAACTGGACCTCTCGTAACTATAAATCACACTTGGAGAATTTCACGTAAAGCCTCTCCGTCCTTAATACTCCAAGAATGTCACGTAGGTGCTCCTCATGCTGCTATTTGGACCTCGAGTATACTAGAATATCGTCGATGAACACGATCACTGACAAATCCAACATCGGCCTGCACACCTAGTTCATGAGATCCATGAACGCTTCCGGTGCGTTGGTGAGTCTGAAAGGCATCACCACAAACTCGTAGTGCCAATAACAAGTCCTAAAGGCTGTCCTATGGATATCCTCCTCGCAAACTCTCATCTGATGATATCCAGATCTCAAATCAATCTTGAAAAACCAAGATGCCCCTTGCAACTGATCGAATAAATCGTCGATCCTCGGTAGTGGATAACAGTTCTTGACCGTCAGCTTGTTCAACTCCTGGTAATCGATGCACACCCGGCTAGCACATTAGCCTTACCCAGATGATACAAAAAGGATCAGTGCTCCCCAATGTGAGCTACTCGGTCTGATAAAACCCTTCCTCGGTAGCTCCTGGAGCTATGAGGATAACTCCTGCATATCTGGCAACGCAAGGCGACAAGGTGCCTTGGCCATAGGCACCGCACCCAGAACCAAATCAATCCGGAATTCCACTTGCCTCTCAGGAGGCACACCCGACAACTCCTCGACGAAAACATCTGGGAACTGACACACTATCGGAACCTTAGAGATAGAACTCGGCCTCTCTGTAGCAACCTGTGTATCCATCATGTACGCTAAAAAGCCCATATATCCCAGCTGTAGAATCTGTCTCGCTCTGGCAGCGGAGCAGAAAACTGATGCAGATCTAGTTCCCTCGCCATACACTGTAAACACTCCCCCACTAGGGTCTTGTATGGTCACCATCTAATGTTCATAGTCGCTCACAGCGCCAAACTAAATCAACTAATATATGCCTACTATAACAAAGACATCACCCATTGCTATCGGCACCAGGTCTATCGGAAACTCAACACCAAAAATCTCTAATACACATCTTCGGAATACATCAGTGGCAAAATCTACATGCTCTTTGGCTATAGAAACCCCCAGAGGTCGACTTAACGCCTCACTTCTGATACTAATGTAATGACTAAAAGCTAAAGACACAAAGGATCGACTAGCACTCGAGTCAAATAACACCGAAGCAGGTATAGAACTCACAAGAAAAGTACCTATATACAGCACAATATAAGCAAAACAAATATCAAAATAATATAAATAAGGAAATATGTACCAGCCAAGATATTAGGCGTTGCGTAGACCTCCTCCGTTGTCAACTAAAAAGCTCTCCTGCGAGCCCTTGGTTTCTCGGCCTTCACTGGCCGACTATCAGTAGCACGTAAAGCAGCAAGTGCAGAACCTTAAGCTGATCCCTGAATGAGTTGAGGGCACTTGGCCTTCTAATGACTGGTCTGGTTGCAGTGAAAGCAAACCGCAAACCCCTTGGGGCAATCCTTCTTCATGTGCCCCTCTTTTCCACATTTGTATCAAATCCCTGCCTGACATGATCCCTCGTGACTCTTTCCACACTTGCCACAAGTGCGGCCCTTCTGGCCCACAACTCTCATATCAGTAGGATTTTCCAGCTTCATTGTCGGTTGCGACTATAACGGTCTCCTGTCTCTACCCCAGGACTCCTTCTCCTATCTGGTCTGTAACTCTAACTTAATCTCCCTCCTCCTGGCATTAGTTTGAAGGTTAGATAATGACCGGTATGATGAGTTCACCAAGAATTCCCGTATATCCCTCCTCAGTATGCTTAGATAACGGCTCACACGTGCCTGATTAGTAGACACGTGCTCAGGGCAAAACAGTGCCCTCTCATGGAACATCCTTGTGATCTTAATCACAGTTTATGTCTTCTTCTTGAGAGACAAAAACTCCTGGGCTAACCGTTCCCTCTCTATCGGGGTAACATACTCGTCTCGAAACAACTGTGTAAATCTCTCCCATGTCACTGCAGCATGATCTGCAGGAGTAAAGTTGGAGGTCATGAACTTCCACCAGTCCTTCACTCCCAATTGAAGCTAATTCAGTGCAAACTGAACTCTCAGGTGCTCGTGGAATGAACACGTGTAAAAACACCCCTCAATATCGGATATCCATCTCATAGAAGCAATCGGATCCTGTGTCCCATCAAAATCCAGTGGCTTCGTGTTGTTGAACTCCCGGAACAACAATGAGTCACCTCCATGTGGCCTAGCAGTAGCTACGACTACGGTGGCTGCAGTAGCAGCAACAACCTTAATAACAGTTGGATATCATCATCGAATGTCTCAATCAGTGTGGTCTTAATAGACCCAAACATCTCTGGTATCTCCTCTCGGATAGTTGCGACCACCTCCTCATGAATGATCATGCAGATCTCCTCGTCACTAACACTACTGCTCTCGGGGTTATGGTGCATACCCACCATGATGTCTTTGAAACACTTCACAAAAATCATCAAAGACTCGTCCGAGCATACTCACACTCGATTTCCTGCCCCTACATGCTCCTTAGTACCATAAGGATTCTTACTTGGGTTGCATATAGATCTGATGCTTTCAATAGTATGGACCCAATACTATCTTCCACACCAGCCTGTAGTCACCCCAAGTCCACCTCCTAGGATCCCATTTCAAAAGCACTCTATCTCTCACGAATTCCATACTACTCTCTAAGTAGACCCCTCATATACTCATCTAGGTATCTCTCTTAGACTATCCCTTGACTCAGAGCTCTTTCTAAGTGGTTCCTGCTAGGCACTCCTATTCAACACATACTCAAGGAAAATAACAGATCACATCGATCAATAGCACCTCATAGGCTAAGGCATTACAAATCAGGCAACTCTAGAGCTAAAATGTGAAATACCTAGCCTATCCTCTAGCATGCATCCTTAATATCTCATGAATATTTTATAACACAAATAAGTAACGGTATTTTGGGAAATCACCATTCGAGCTCTGGCTGATTGTACACACTGCTCCATCTCATTTTTTTCTTAAAAACTCTTACTCATTTTAGAAAAATCATTTCTATTTGAATTTTTTTCTCAAATCCTCAGTTTGAGTTCAAACATACCCAAAGGTACATCCGAATCCCTCAAACCAAGGCTCTGATACCAACTTGTAACACTATAAATTTTCAAACAAAATTTTCATTTTAAAATCACATGAATATCATCAACACATTTCACAAATCCCTAAAATGCCAATTTATCAAAAACACATATTCATAATTGTTTAAACAAAATCCAGGATCCTCAAAACATAACTCCGTCTCGTGTGTACAATCAAGACAACGCCTTCCCGTGATCCTGAGAAGTACATGAAACACATAACACATAACACGGTAAGCACGAAGCTTAGTGAGCTCCCCGAAATACCACACACATCTCATTAGCCTCTCATGGCTATATCTCGATTAAGACCCTATAGTCAATGTGTCTCAGTGGAACCCTCCGGTCCCACAACTCGGGTGGACCCTTCGGTCCTAACTCAGTAAAGCTCAGAATAGTACACAAATGTTAAAATTCATCTCTTCTTTCTTGAGCAAAATCAGGACCAGAAGATAAAAATGAATCAAGGTTAGCATCTGGAGAAGGTCTTACAGCTCTTTCACTTGAAGATTGCGAAGTTGGATTAGCGGGACTAGAACTAGAAGCAGTGATCTTTTCTCCCTCACTGCTCAAAGGTTGAAATTCATCACCAAACTTTTGAAATAGGCATTGTTTCAAGTCAAAGAATAGAGCAGTTACACCACCAAGATTTGCTTTAAGTTCTGAGATATTTGAATCTTTAATGGAGTTCTCCTTTTCAAGCTCGCTGATTTGAATGTCATGCTTTCCAATAATCAAATATGTTTCCGCAGAACTTTGTTCCAGATCATAGACTCTGTTTTGAAGCAGAACCACATCAACCAATTCAGATTCAGGCAGCTTGCTTTTGCCTTTGGAGATGTCCAGCTCAGGTGTTTCAAATGAGCTTCTTGAAGCGTGAGCTCCTTCCGAAGGTATGACTTCTTCTTCAGCAATTGGGCTTTCAAAATCCTGATACATAGGAATGGATTCGGTGAATAGGCTTGACATTTTGTGAGTCACTGGAGATGTCTCAGTAAATGAGCTTGGTATGTTTTGGGCCATAGAATCAGGCTCAATCGGTGTAGATTTCTTTTGAATGGAGTATGTGATAAGCTCCCTTGGTCTTAGATCTCTTCTTTTACGCTTCCTTAGGAGAAAAGTGTGGGCGGAGTCTTCTAGATTACTACTAGATGGAGGTTCAATATCAACAGGAACTGTTTGGGTATATTTTTCATTAAATAGGGTACATTAAAAATAGGTCCTTTTTCTTTCCCAGAAGGTTGCTATTCATCTCTTCAAAAATGAACTTTGAGAAGTTGTAATCTCAGTCCATAGCCAGAGAGACAATGGCTGAGGTCATGGTCTGACTAATTTCATCAGAGCCCCCCTTTCTTCCAGAAATGCCAATCACAAAGGAGTGTACCAGGAACTTCCCGTAAGGTGGCAGCAGCTTCTTAATAGTAGGAGGATAGGTTCCATCATAACACATCTTCGCCAGAACTTCCTTGACTTGATCAACAGAGTACTCAATTAGGAATGCAGATGCATCACCAAATTCAAGTACCTCTCGGATAACATGTTCAGAAATAAGCCCTTGTGTTCCTTTCAGCATCGATTCAACAGTACCAGCTCCATCTACTCCCAACTTGTTGATCGAATCATTTTTTTCAGAACTTAGTAATCAGGTCTCTATGGATGACTGGATTAGCACGAAGGGCTTGAGAAATCTTGTAGTTGTTTAAACCCGCCATCATGGATTTGAATTCTTGATGAGTAACAGGTGGATCCATGAGATATCCAACAATGTTGTGAGAGTCCACGAATTTAAGTTGCTCTACCATGTATCTGCACCAAACTAGCCAAGTGAGAATTAAATTAAAATTTAATTAAATTGAGTCTGAAATTTGATTTCGGTTAAACTCAAATTTTTAGTCGATTTCAGTCAAAGACAAAGTTTCAGTTAAAGTCGATATTTTAGTCGATTTCGGTAAAAGTTAATCGATTTGACTAGATGATTTCGGTCAATGTTGGTTGATTTCGGTCGAGAACCTAGTTTTCGATTAAGTCTTCATTTGATTTCGGTGAGATTCGGGTTGAACTGAAAACCCGAAATCTCATTGGAACATGTTCCAACTCGGTTCTTCAAAAAACTTTGAGAAATTTACTCAAAAAAACCTTTGAATCTATTAAACCGAGTACTCCAAAACAACTTTAAATAACATTGTCATGATCAAAATCCCAAATAATACCTTATTCACCGAACAATTTTCAACAAAAATAACGATTAAGTAGGTTTTAGCAGAAAACTCGGAGAGAGAAAAGAGAAAAACGACGATGATGATGATGATGGTTGTTTGGGGTTTTTCGGTGAAAAACCCTAACCAGCCGAAAACGAAGTATATATATATCATCGAAAAATCCCAGACTGCCCATTTAATCGATTTCGGCCCATGAAAAGTAACCCAAATTTTAATAAAAATGATTTCTTTCGATTTTACATTCCAAAAACCAAATACAAAAATTAAAATAAAATTAAACAACATTTTTAATTATTTTTATTTTTTTTACTTTTTTCTTTATTATTATTATTATTATTATTATTATTATTATTATTATATATATATATATATATATATATATATATATTTTTTATTTATCTATTTATTTATTATTATTTCTCCCCCGAAATTTGTAACAATGAAAATATATACAAATTTAAATAAATAAATAAATAATGTAATCCACAATAAAAACTTTTGGGATCAAACATTATGGAGCAAATTAATGAGGTTTATCGTCAAATACACATAAATAATCACATAACATAAACATATAAACGTTCCTCTCGAGATCCGGAAACATATCAACATTCATCGGGATTTCCCCAGCATCGGACCAAAGTCTGGAACATATAAAAGCAAGTACATGCAAGAATCACGAAGACATCAAACATACAAACATTCCTCAGGCTTTCCCCGACATCACACCGAAGTCCGGAAACATGTAAACCTACATCGAGCACTGCTCGACATCGGACCTTAGTCCGGAATACATTAACATACATAAATGGGCCACCATTGGTGCCATCGACCCGTTCCTACTGGAGGAAAACTCACCTCAAATGTCACGTGAAATAGCTGAAATGTCTCTGCTCCTGCAACCGGCTCTACTCACGCCATATACAGAAACAACCCCTTAGATACCTTTCTGTACTCAAGAGCCCTTCACGGGTCAACCTTGGTTAAAGTCAAGGTCAAGGTCAAAGTCAACATCTAGTCAAAGTCAAAGTCAACACCCCGAGTTGACTCAACTCATCGATTCATCCCTCTGACTCGTTGAGTTTCCATGCTAGTCAGAATCGTGATAAAATGAGTCAACTCATCAAGTCCCTCCTTAGACTCATAGAGTTCTACCCTTTACAAAATCGGGACAAATCGTTCTAACTCGTGGAGCCCTTCTATAGACTCGCCAAGTTCTTCAGTCTGTTGCTTCATCTTAATGGATTAAGCCCCTATTCTTCATATCCGAGCTTCATACTTCACAAATACACTAAAAATGTCCTTTAAGGGTAAAGTTTCCAACTTTACCTGTTAATAGCCTTACATAATGGGTTTAGCTCAAACCCTAATTCTTTAAGACCTAGATCTTGATCCAAATGCCATCAATACTCTAAACTAAGGCATATAAACTGAGATTTGGACCCTAGACACTACAAGAACACGTAAAGCTTCCATCTTTCTCTCCATGCATGCCCTTTTGGAGCTTAAAAGGCCAAAATGACATCCTAAAGCTTGCATGGGGATTTAATGGTCATAAAGTTTGCACCTTTATGCCATGAGAGTCCTTCAAGTTTCTAGATCTGAAGGTATACTCACTTAGGACGTCTATTTCGCAAAGATCATGCTTCTTGGGCCAAAAACCCAATAAAATGATAATAGTGAGATCAAAGAAGTTACTAAGCAAGTTCGAGACTTGCTGACTAGGAAATGATTTATCTGGATCAACTAGCTTCTTCTTGAATCCCCAAGCTTCTCCTTCCTTCATAAGCTTCAACACAGACAAAACTCACTCAAAAATTGCTCACAATCTCACAAATGCATTAGGGTTTTTGGATTTAGGGTTTGGAACTTGGAGGTTGGGAATGAGGCTAGCATGAGGGGATTAAAATGCTTAAATGGGGTGCAAAACCACGAAATTAGGGTTTCACCCCTGCCAGCCTACTCATCTAGGTGAGGGCTCTTGACTTGTCGAGCAACTTACTTAAAAATCGATTCCCTTCTAATCTCTACTCGATGAGTTTGGGGCTTCCAACTCGTCGGGTTGCTCATAGAATTTGAAAAATTACTAGATTAAATACATACCAGGAATTGCGTTACACTCATTTCTTATAGGATGGGTCTTAATGGGGAAAGTCAGAAACTTTACCCTCCTAATTGTGTTTTTGACTCAGATCTAGAATATAGGACTTACACTCAAAGAATAACGGCTTAACACATTAAGAAAGCATATCAGACTGAAGAACTCGACGAGTTGAGTCGAAATGCCTCGATTCTGTAAAAGGAAGGGCTCGATGAGTTCAAGGAAAGACTCAGCGAGTTGCGTGGGAAAGTCCTGATTCTATGAACAGGAGGAGCTTGACGAGTTGGATCACTATTTCAGGGTTTTATGATTTATGGAACTCAGCGAGTTGAGTCATCCCAGAATGTTGACTTTGAACAGAATGTTAACTTTGACTAGGGTGTTGACCTTGACCTTGACTTTGACCAAAGTGAACACTTAAGGGGTCATGAGTATAAAAGGGTAATTAAGGAAAACTTTTATGTATAGGGGTTTGAGTTGGGTGGATTATCGGACCCGATGATTTCCAGCTACTTTACAACATTTGAGGTGAGTTACCTTCCAGTAGAAGTGAGTCGAAGGCACTAATGTCAGCCCACTAGTAGTTGATTATAGTAGAGATGATTGTATTTGTGATAATTGTCTGGTATGCCATTATCTGTTATGCTTTATGTGCTAGTATGCTATCATATTATGTGATACTGGTAGGAAGGGTGAAATAGTCCCAGCAACCGGTTGAAGTAAATAGGAGGGTAGGTCGAGCACCTAGATATGCTTGACAGTATGTTTATGCTATGTATTATGTGGTAGTGGTAGGGGTGAAATAGTCTGTATAACCAGTTGAGATAAACCAGAGTGTAGGCCGGGCATCCAGATATGCCTGGCAGGTAGGTCTGGCACCCAAATATGCCTGGCAAGGTAGGTCGGGCACCCACATATGCTTGGCAGGGTAGGTCAAGCACCCAGATATGCCTGACACGGTAAGCCGGGAACCCATATATGTCTGGCAGTATGTTATTATGTGGTATGATGGGGGAACTCACTAAGCTTAATGCTTACAATTTTTAGTTTTGGTTTCTGGTACTTCCTCTTTGAAGGGAAAGGAGTTGGCATGATTGCAGCACATCACACTATATTTTCCGCACATGAGGTCTCTGGAGGTTTTACTCTGATATTGTTTTATCATGACATATTTTGATTATGGATACATAGGTTTTGGCCAAAAAGTTGGCTGACATCTACATCAGGGAGGTAGTAGCTCGACAATGGGGTGTCAGTTTCCATGATTTCTCACCGGGATGGACGGTTCACTTCCAGATTCTGGAAGAAATTTCATGACGAGTTGGGTACTCTTCTGCACTTTAGCACGACTTTTCACTTGCACATCGATAGTCAGAGCGAGTGGACCATCCAGACCTTGGAGGATATACTGCGGGCGTGCGTTTTAGATTTTGGTGGTAGCTAGGATACCTACCTTCCCCTGGCAGAGTTTTCCTACAATAATAGCTACCACGCCAGCATCGATCATTCTCCCTTAGTGATGTTTCTTGGGGTGAGGATGGATAGAGGTTCATGGGTAGTACCGAAGTGGTACTCAAGACGAAAAAGAAGATCCAGCGGGTCCAAAGTAGACTCCAGATGGCCCAGAGTCGGCAGAAGAGCTATGCCGACAGACGTCTATCAGACCTAGAGTTTCAGGTAGGAGACATGATCCTCCTGAAGGTGTCAACCTTGGAAAGGTGTCATCCGGTTCTGGAAGTCGGGCAAGTTGGGAGATTTCATGTCTCCCAACTGCGGAAGTGCTTAGTAGACAACTCCACAATCGTGCCTTTAAAGGATATTCAGGTGGATGACAGCCTAAATTACATCGAGAGACTAGTAGCCATTCTGGATAGGTAGACAAAGAACCTAAGGAACAAAAGGGTAGAGTTGGCGAAGGTGTAGTGGTAGCACCGCAAGAGCTCAGAATGGACATGGCAGTCGGAGGAGGAGATGAGGGAGCACTACCCAGAGCTATTTCCAAACGCAGCACACTTCGAGGAGGAAGTCTGAAATAAGTGGGGGAGATTTGTAACGCCCGGTTCCTGGTATATATTTAATTCTTAAATTATTCTTTTTTTATAGAAACTCTACGAGAAGGCCTCAAACTCATCGAGTAGAGATGGATTAGGACACAGGTTAAGAACTCTACTCTAAGAGTTGGGAAGCCTCAACTCGATGAATAGGACTGGCCGAATGAAACAACAATTTCATGGTTTTTCACCCTATTTAACA